GTTTTGAAATATTGAGCAAGCACATGTACCCCTATTTTACATCGATACCAATCCCCATACCCCTATATAGTCTCTTGTTTGAATCCATGATTTAAGTTTAATTGTGATAATTGATACCAAAACCCTTTTCATATATTTGGTGGAACCATCCACCCATTTGTTCTAATTAATACAATGAATTGGTTTACATTCTTAATTTCCTAATTAAATTCCTTGCACAATATCATTCCTTGTGAGATCCTACCCCGACTCTCTCTTGTTGGGTACTTTTATTGATAACAACCACTTACTCTTCTAATTGTTTTTAGAGCAGTTTGAGTGTTATCACATAGGCTCTATCCACGAGCTTGGGTGCATCACCCTCGACCACAGAGCCGCACATGCGAGCCATCCTATAGAAGAGTAAAACAAGTGAGATTATAGAAACAAAATAAGACACAACACACAACAATGAATGAAAAATAGAGAGTCTTTCGAATGATTCCCTGTAGCCTCCCAAAGATAGGATACAGACGTCTCCGCACTGATGTGCAGGCCTCTACTAGACATTATCTCTAAAAAAGCAAACACCGGTGAACCTAAGTCCCTGGTACCAACTTGTCATGACCTAAAGATTAGAGTCATGATGACACATACTATAACCCACCAGTAGGTAAGCCAACTCGCAACTTGGAACAACAAGTAATAGCTCTACGTCTTAGAAACAACAAAAAACAAGAGATACCGGAAATACATTAAGGGAAACAATATAAGATAGGTACAGAAGCCAATATATATACAATCAGAAAGAGATACACACCCAAAATCTGGTAGTCACATGTTCAGAGTTGCTACAAAAGAGAACAAGTCTCAAAAGTCGACCAAAGTATATAGACTTGTCTCAAAAACAAAAAACTATTAAGAAAACTATAATAGAAAGAGACAGGTTGGATACCAAAACCTCACCCTTGCCACTGGATTCTCCTGCAACTGGCTTGATATCAGCGCTGGTGACTGGTGCTCGGACCTGCAACCCAAAAACACATACAAAGTGTAGTATGAGTACCAAAACAATAGGTACCCAGTATGCATCATAATCTAAATGAGCTTAGAAAGTAAAGAAAATAATTAAAAGCGAGAAATCACACTAACTAGAGGTCAAAAGAGCGGAATGATAACAATAATCTAATTGGACTGCACATGAATCTAGGAATGAATGGAAAAAAAGTAAGTAACTAGTTATAACCTAAGTGGACCCCTATAAGACAGAAGGTACACTTATGCACATGTTTTATTAAATAACATGAATGCACCCCCATAAGACCAACGAGTACACATAAGAGCTACAACTATTAAGTATGAGAACCAGTGAATCTAGAAACTAGAGGGATGCATAGCCCGAACATCGAATTGCAGATAAGACACCCAAAAAACTTAATAGAACCATGCCGATATGAATCAACTTAACCGAAAGTAATAAGCCCAAATTTGGATTACGGGTGAAGATCATATGCCCAAGCCCTGAATCTGTGACTAAAGGAATAATATGCCCGGACCTCAAATCCACGACTCATCGAGCAGTCGCGAAAGAATCCAATATCAAAGTATCACCAGCAAAGGGCCACCATGGATAGATGTCCACCCAAATATATCATCAAATCACTTCCAAACTCGAACCAAATTTGAATCCGAATTAACAAACGGATCCCAAAATCACAACCAAAACTACAGGACTAATGTAAGAACATGGGATTTATCGATTAAAGGTCACTGGAGATGAGTTAGTGCCTGACTAAGGTTCACACTATCAGATCTAGCCTGTTATATCAGTCTACATGTAGCTAAGTCATCTGAAGCGACATCAGATAATTTCTAAGCCTTTTGGCTCTAATACGCGAGTCTAAAGCATCACTAGCTTACGTCTAGGCTAAGGGAAATAACTAACTACTAATAACAATATGATTAACCTAAGAGATAATACAAGGCAAGAAAGAATCATTACAATGGGATAGGTTTGCTCAATTTACTTGAAACTAAACAAAATATTCCTAAAACATGAATTCTAAAATTGAACATGAAACAATCTAGAAACCCATCCCAGCGCTCGCTAATCAACATGAATTTACAGACAGGAGCTCATATAAAATCGTAAGTCATAGCCTACCTTAATAGTTGACCGTGCACACTCTCTAATCACGATTCTAGAGCTTTGCCTTTTCAAATGGCCTATGATCGCTGCTACTCTATCAAAAAAATAATCGCAACATCAATAAAGACGTCCAGACATTAAAATTGTAGCAATTAAAGGCATACCCAAAATTGAGTCAAAATAGAATTGTGGGACCCATTTATGGAGTCCTGTAATTAACTCTGTAAAATGGTCCTAAATAGACTATTGAACTTGTGTCCAAAAATGGAACACAATTCAAGCTCTGAAACCAGCTCAAAAAAGATCATGCAAGAAATGAATCAAAAGCACCATTAATGGGGATTGGGTAGTCCCTTCAGGATAAAAATTACCTCAATTCAATGCTCCATGCACTCCCTTAGACACTCGAATAGGAAGCCACACACTTTTTGAAAAGACAAAAACAACTTGCATCACCTTAATCAAAGGTGTATAGCTCAACAAAATTCATTTTGAAATTTCAAGAATAGGCTAGTTCGCATCTCTAGCCTTAGTTAAAAGACCAAATAAATGACATGTGTGAATGCGGGACCCAATTTGTGATCGCCGAAGGTCGACCCTAATCTAACCCATTGTGAACATGATTTTTAGCATGCGATCACAGAGGATTGGGCCCCTAGGCCTACATGATCGTAGCACAAGGCCCGCAAATGCGCTGACCAGCATGTTAGGTCTCTGTGAACACGGAAACCAGTACCACTAGTCACCACAAACATGTCCAGGTTCTAGCGAATGGGAAGAGTAATATGAGGCTGCACCAGCTAATGCACAACAGATAGTTTCTCCCAACTTGAAATCCTCGATAGGGTGCTCGGGATTCATTCAGAACCCAGTGCACGCAAACGAGATATGTTACCTCACATATTTCAGCATTCTGGACTCAATAGAGATGTCAAACTTCCAAACGAGTTTGTCTCAATGAAAAGTGGGTCTCACACCCAAACTCCATTTTAAGAAAACTTCCACAAAGGGGCTCGGGATGATTCAGGAAGCCTCAGGATCCGCACTAAAGGTCCTTCCAAACCAGAATCAGCGTTCTAGAGCTAAGGGAACCATTAGAATTGTATTCTGAGGTAGTCTTTCTGAACTCTTGACCAACGCCAACCCTTCAAGTATCAAAAGCTTCAAAACACAAAAACTTATACAAAAACCAAACGAACGACCAGGTGACCGAACTATCATCCTCAGCAAGTCATGAATGACTTGAGATCTCTATAAGAATGCTCTAAATGATAAAAATAAGTTATAAAAAATAAATGACCTGGAGGGTTATTACAACATTTTATGTTTTTTAACATAAATAAATGCTAGTTCTTAAAAAATGATAGTGCATTTTAATGATTTTTCTATGGTGTTAGAGAGAAAATCAGTCAAAATGGGACAAGTAGCAAAAAGAAGTTATCTCTGACAAAAGAGAGCCCAGATGGCAGGATTGACAGAATGTCACACCTCCGACGAGCCGTCAGGGCAATCGTGAGAGGCAAACACAACCATTGTGAAAAAGTAGATTCTAGTGATCCACCTGACGGGCCGTCACACCAGCAATGGACCGTCAGGCAAACCACCACATAGGCTTTTCCTACACAATTTCTAGTAGGGCACGAAGGCACAAGTGATGGGTCGTCAGGCGAAGCGTCAGATGCACTTCAACGGGTCAGCTTTATTATTTTTAATTTCAAATTTTCTTAAAATTATAAATAGTATTGTTATGTTTATTTTATTATCTTGCGTTTAGTGAATAACACAATATGCTTGAATGAGTTCTCTTCTAGAATTTTCATTGGTTTTTTAAAATCAAAATTTGTGTGGTTACTCTAATTTTGTAAGTAAATTCTTATTTAATAAATGAAATTACATTATTTGTTTCAATTATCATGAGTGGCAAAACTGCACAACCAAGAGTCTATCCATGAGTACATGACCTAAACAAGGTTTTTTATGGAATAAACTTTGTATTGTGATTGTATACCTTATTAACTCTTTCGAACTAATCAATTTCTAATGGTTATAAATATTAGAATCTTTCCTAGATTTTACTTGTTTGAGTAAAAAAATGTAAAACCTGGAAAAAGAGTTAATAACGTGGATTCGAGATTCAAAAATTGTCTAATGGTTTATGATGTAGTAAGATTAACCAATTCAAAGTAAATGTCATTGATTTGAGATAAGCACTTTTAGTCCAGAGTAAAAGTGACATGCATCTAATTTGGTTGAGAAATAGTTAAATGTAGTATGGGTTTGATAAACTAGTATACTAGCATTACAAAATGAAATTATATATTAACCTGAATTAAGGCAAACACTTTTAGTGAACACAATCATGGTTTTTCTCTCTATAAATTCTCAGTTTAAGTAATATTTTTGAAAGTTACAAGTTACAAATTGATACTAAAAATCATTCGAACTCTCACAAACTTTGTCATTTCCTTCGAAAATAAAAAACGAATAGTAAATAATGATCATATACGACTTAGTTCTCACCTTATTCCCTATTGGTTCAACCCAACCTAATTTGGTTTTATATTTGACAACAATCGAGTTATATTATTTTAAGGAGGCATAATTTGGACATATCACCACATAATAGTAATTTGTCTACATATTTCTATTTAACTTTTTCACTTAAAATAATTTCACATTTGCATGAACATTCACATTAGTATATTATACAATATTGTGCATTGTGTAACAAAAACTTTCAATCTGCACTTAAAGTATTTCTATGATTACATGAATAAAAACTTTGTAACAAAAGTTATTAAAAAGCAATAATAGTAAATAAATAACTGAACTGAGACATGCCAAAACAGGATGAGGAAAAAGTTACTAATTGGTAAGTGAGAAGCAACTCATTGTCAAAACTCATTTTCCTTTTGCATTTTTTTGGTATTTTCTGGATCTATTGACCGGCGAGTTTCTTGCCATAATTGGGTTTCAATTCCCAATTTCTTGAGCTCTATGAGGCCTCGCTCAACTGCAGTGTGGAAGAAAAACTTCATTTAGTTATTTGCATTAAAAAGTAAATATATATTTCATCTAATAGCACAATAGTAAATTATTTGTACATTTTGACACCCTCCCATTTTAGGAAAGCATACGAACTCAGTGAATGTGGGTAATTTTTTAAAAAAAAGGGTGGTGGTGGAGGGGGCGACAACATATTATAAGGAGATTTTCAAAAAGTAAATAATAATTACTTTCGTGACCAGTTTTTGTTTGACCAGAAATTTATAACTTCACATTTTATGATTTATCAGTAAGAAGAAACACCCAAAGCACAAAGAAAAAGTATCAAATGTCAATGCAATTACATTTTATATAGTTGAGAATATTTGTCTCGAATTTATCAAGAAACCAAATTTGTTGACCACATAAAGCATGAACTGCTAACGTTCACCAACAACTATGCCATACTAGAAAAGGCAAGATGTTTCAGCGCCAACTCTGAATCCAATATATCGTAAGTCAAAGGATGGTGAAACTTAGTTTTTCACTCCTGAGATTGTGTATTTGAGTTACTGGATTTCAGAAATGGGTAGTGCCCCTACGATGATACAGATGTCGATATCCAATACGGTGAGGAAGACGACATATGTGACGAAAACCTCCCCAAGTGCTGGTCAACAACTTATTTTCCAAACATAATTTGGTGTAATGACATATATGGTTGTTATGAGTATAAAAATTCTTTTCTCCTAAGTGAAATTTTTATAGCCTCAATATATGGTTTATGCCTAGATAGGATAGGCGAAACAAGCCCCATTTCCAAGGACTCGAGCATATTTCAGAGAAAAAAACAAAATTAAAAGCTTAAAACTTAAGAGTTGATTAAAGTCAATATTAGGAGTTAACATGCTTGGAATTGGGGATTGAAAAGTCATATAGGTTTGTATGATGATTTCAACTTAGTTGATTGATTTTGACAGTCCCAGGGGGCTAGAGAATAATTCAAAAAAAATGCTTGAGCCAAATTTAGTATTTCAAAGAATAAAAGTTGACATTGGTAAAATATATGATTAGATGACCTAAGATTGGCGATTTAAGAGTACTAATAGGTTCATAAGGTGACTTTGAATTGAAAATGTGTTTGGTTTGTACCTCAAGGGGTTTAGGTGGTTTTAGGGTGGTTTTTTATATTAAAAATGCAATAAATATGGAGGCTACGGAGATGCTTAGCATCAACTTAGCCTTTGACACATGAAGCCTACATTTTAAAAACATTTCTCAAATAGACGAATTTCAAATCCACAAAATATATTTGTAGGAGTTGTAAAGCTTGGATTTGGGGAATCTTAGAGGGATTTTGTTTTCGATTCAACTTTAATCTTTGTTTTGGCACTTACATTTGATTACACACCTAATTTAGTCGCTTTAACTTGTGATCTGATTGAGAATGTTGGGGGACTTTTAGCTCTAGTACAATACATTGTTAATTGACAATTTTAAGGTCGGCTTGACTGGTAATTTTAGATTTGGAACACTTGGGATTTTTGTAAAAAAAATTGAAAGAATTTTTTTATTTTGACTCTATGACACGAGTTTGACATTTTATTGACTTTTAACTCATTTCTTTTATATGTCACTATGAGTCGTGTTATCTTTGTTTGGTAGTGTAAAACTCATATTTTATTATATAGGGAGGACTCTTAAGGAAGGGTAAAGTTATTCGTTAAGTTTGTGATGTGGGGCATATTTACTCTTTTTAGTCATGCTTTCGTATGTTTATACCTTATTTTGAGGATAATCTAGGTTTAATACTCTGGTTTATAACAATTTTCATGTTTTCGCACTTATTAAAGATGCTCTATGTGTAGGTTAAAAGGATAAAATTATGGAAGGAACTAAAAAGATTTTGCCAAGCCAAGCCCAAGGCAAAACTTCGGGTCTCGTGACATGGCTCCCAATGCGAAGGGGGGTCGAATTTCACCCCCACCCCCCTCAATGTTTCATACACTACATGAGGTTCTCTAGGGCGTGAAAGAAGATCACGTGATGCGAGGGCTAGAGAAAGGGTCACAACCTCACACCATCAGGTTCCAAAGACGGGTGAAATTTCCCTTTTCCCAGTGTGACTTGGATAGATCTTCTAGGTGTTTTAAAATATTATAAATACTCATCCTTGGTCATTTTTAGAGGAGGACGAAAATTGTAGAAGCAAACATCAAGAATAAAGTCACAATTCTCTTAGGCTTGCCTTTTTCCCTCTTAACTTTATTTCTTATTGCTACATGAAGTATAAATTTTATAATCAGATTATGAGTGGCTAAAATTCTTCCACTCAGGGTTATGGCAATAGTATATAAAAAGTATTTTATATACAGAGTTTTAATGTGGATTCTACAGTTACATTTTGTTGTCTTAATCTTATTCTTACTATTATATTGTGTCACGACCAATATGATAAGCAAATAATTGCTCGTTGAACTCGATAGAGGAAAAATAGGAGTAGAATGTGGGTTAAGGAGAGTAGAATGTGTTATGGCTAGGATAGAGACATGCTTAGTTTTCCTTCCTTGACAAAAATATAGTAAAATATGTAAAATTCATTTTGAATAGTTGATTATCCCAACTCAACGATATAGTATGAGGATAATTTGGATAGACGATTAGAGGCTCGATAGACCATGAGCATAATAGAAATCTTGTGAATCAATTATATATCTTAAATTATTTTAACAACTATATGTAAATATGATGGAATTAGACACGCATCATAGCCCTAGGAGATCTCTCTGTGAACAACTTCCACAATCTACTCACTTCATTATTCTTTCTTTAGGATAGTAATTACTATCGTTATACAACAAACTTACTCTCTAGAGTTGGACAATAATTGTTATTGTAATTATAATATACTAAATCAAGGTCTTGTCAGTGCTAAGTCCCTATGGGATTCGACATTCGAGTAGTTGCAATTACTTAATTACTTTACGACCACATACACTTGCATGTGTGTTGAGAGACAACAATTGTTTGCATCATTGTTGGATACTTAAGTATTGACGAGTTTGACATTTTTTTTGTTATTTTTATTTTACAAGTGTTAACAATTTGATCTTAACTATTGTCATTGCAGGTGACAGGTTTATGCTATACTATAAAGACAAGGCTAACCTTACGAAAGATGAGGTAAACCTAACTTTATTCCAACCAAAAAGGTTTCTTTATTAGAGGTTAAGGTATCAGGCGGCAGACCAACCACTAGCCCTAGTAAAAATGCTCGAAGAGGAAATTCCACTCGTAAGAAACATCAAGTCTAGTATCATGAAATCTACCATTACTAGAAGAAATGAGTTAAAGCAAAATATGGCGCAAATCTTGCACTCAAGAAGGAAGTTTACCACATGAGGATCCACAAGTGCATCTCCAAAATTTCATAGATACGTACATCACACGGGGCATCTCATCGGACAATATTAGACTTTTCCCTTTCCATTCTCACTATTAGGGGAAGCTAAGAGGCATCTTTAAGATAAACCTCCCAACTCTATCATTTCATGAGCTGAAGAATTTTATTGCAGGGTTCTTTCAATTAAGGAAGACAACTAAGTTGAGAAATGAGATACTCGAATTTTAGCAAAAGGAAGGCAAAGGCCTTCCCCAAGAGATTTGAAATGTTATTGTTGGTTGTTCCCTATCATCACCAGACGTAGGAGGTCCTAGAACATTTATCGATATTTATTCTAAACTATTTTTGGATTCAATTGCAAGAGGATAGGCGGCACTATAGAAAACATAGACCAAGTTAGTGCTCCTATTGATTAGATTAGCAATTAGTAATACAGAGTGAAATAGTGAGTCATATAAAGAAAGAAGTTGGTATGATTGAGGTTGATAGGATAACTAGTATATATACATGCACAAATCACAACTATGAACAACAACTTTAGTTAGCTGAACAAATTTCTCATAGAGCAGGCGCATGAGCAAGCTTAAGTTTACTAGATTCATAAAGCTCACTTGTTATGTGAGGTCTATAGGGGTGATCATTCAACAAATACGTCCATAGTCTATACATTTAATGGGTAAGGTAGATACGAGGCATAGGACATCAGAATTTTGGGAATGCTTATAACCTTAATTAAAGGAAACACTCAAATTTCTCTTGAGGTGTAAACTAGAGAAAAAAATCAATATATATAGACCATAGGGTCATCAACAAGGCTATCAGCATAGTCAGAGCAATTTAGTTCAGATCTAGCTAAATGATATCAAAGAGGTGCTGAACAAATTGGTAAATGGGCAACAAAAGTAGGAAGACACTACAAAAATAACCATGAAGTAGCAATCCATATTTTAGAAAGATAGATGGGCCAGAGCACAAAATATATGAGACCTCTTGGAGGTCTACCTGGTGATATGGATCCTAGTTTGAAACATGCTAATTCAGTTATGATTACAAGTGGTAAGGATTTGGGTGAAAATATGCAAGTGCAGGTAGTGGTTGATACAATGGTTAACAAGAAAAACGCTAAGGTTTCATAAGAAAAAATTGTGAAGCGGCCTACACCAATAGCTGTAAGATCTCCTCATTAATTAATTCCCATAGAAATTGAACAAGTAGAAAGAGGAGGTAATATTCTCAAAGTTCTTCAATCTATAAAGCAGGTAAAAGTATTAATACTCCTCTGGCTGATATATTGCCAGGCATTCCCCAGTATCCAAGGCCAACAAGAGAAGATTGAACGAATAACAAGCGATTTTATAATCCTTGATTTTGAGCCTGATTTGAAAGTTCTGATTGATGTGGCATCTCAATTGCTTACTAAGAGATCATATGGCAAAGTGAAAGTGCTCAACGCTTACAAACCATTAAGGTAATCATCCATCTATGTAAAATCATCATCTATCACAATGACAGATTTTACTTCTGATTTATCATAAAAAGATTCATTGGACAAAGCCTTTCAAGCCAAAGTATTATGTTGGGACGCCAAAGAGAATAATCCTATCCAACATCTGAATAATTTCATG